GGGAGCATCGTGAGCAGCAGTAGCAGCAGGGGCAGCAGCAGCAAGATGGTGCCGGAGCGCGGAGAGCCAGCACCAGAGAAGGAGCCCGCTGACGATGACGGTGGAGCGTTCACCGTCGTCGGAGGGGCGCGGAAAGAGGAGGATGGGCAGGCGCGAGAGCGCCCAGCCCATGAAGACGGCCGAAACAGCTGGCGACGGTATCCAGCCAGCCGGCTGCCCTGTGGAGGGGGGGGGGGGAAGGCCACGGAGGTCACGGGTGACGCGCCCCTGGCGGAGACGACCGAGCCGGGAGCGCGACCTCCGGGCCCGGCCTCCCCCCCTCCAACGCAGGGAGAGGAACAGCCGACGACCGCCACCGGCGCCGTGGCTGTGCCGGGTGGCGTTGAGGCTCCGGGGAGCACCTCTTCGTCCATCCCGGGGGAGGGGGAGGAGGTGAACATGGACCCTGGGGGCAGTGGGCTGCCTGCGCGCGGGAGCGTGCCCAGCGAGGCCCCGGCGGCAGAGACAGAGACACATGGAGAGACAGTGAGAGAAACACAGAGAGAGACACAGAGACAGAGCGACACGGAGAGAGACACGGAGAGACGGTGAGAAAGACAGAGAGAGACAGACACAGAGAGAGACACAGAGATACACAGTGAGAGAGACACGGAGAGACACAGTGAGAGAGACACGGAGAGACACAGTGAGAAGATGCCCAGGATTGGACTCGAGCCCGGGGAGGCCCCGACTCCAGGAGGGTCGGCGGAGGCGGCAGGGGAGGCCGGCGCCGACGGGACGGGTGACCGTGAGGGCCCTGAGGACGACTGGGACGAGGAGGAGTGCCCCCGAGAGCGCGCAGGGTGGAGGGACGGGAGTAGGCCAGGAACGTATACACCCAGTGACATCCTCCGATGGATGAAGCAGGTGTACGGGGCACGGAACGTTCATGTGCGGGACAGGTTCCCCGACAGGGGGGCTTTCATCAAGGTGGCACGGACGGTGGTCAAGGACCCACACAGATACTGCTTCAACCGGCAGGAGGTCTACCGGTTGAAGGCGATGATGACCAAAGTGAGGAAGCTGCCACCCCCCCCCCCCCACCAGGAGAGGAGGGTGTGGAGGAGCAGGAGGGGCCCTGCCAGGCGAAAGGGCGTCAAAGCCCAGACAGACATCGGACACTGACTGTGCGGCGGTGGCGATGGTGCGTGAGTGGCGTGTGGTGGATGTGGTGCCGACGCTGCGCGTTGCGTGGCAGCGCGTGGGCCGGGTTGTTGCTTTGCTGCCATAAAGGCGCGTGCGTTGTGTGGCCATAAAGGCCGGTGTACCAAATACATTGAAAATGCTCCAGCGCAATTGACGCCGGAGGAATAAAATTGTTATAAAAAGTCTGTCTCTCTCACTGTGTCTCTCACTGTGTCTCTCACTGTGTCTCTCTCTGTGTCTCTCCGTATCTCTCTCACTCCGTCTCTCCGTGTCTCTCTCACTGTGTCTCTCTGTGTCTCTGTCTCTCTGTGTCTCTCTCTGTCTCTCTCACTGTCTCTCTCACTGTCTCTCCGTGTCTCTCTGTGTCTCTCACTGTCTCTCTGGCTCTGTCTGTGTCTCTGTGTCTCTCTGCGTGTCTCTCTCGGTGTCTCTGTCTCTCTCACTGTGTCTCTCTCACTGTGTCTCTCCGTGTCTCTCTCACTGTGTCTCTCCGTGTCTCTCTCACTGTGTCTCTCCCACTGCGTCTCTCCGTGTCTCTCTCACTGTGTCTCTGTGTCTCTCCGAGTCTCTCTCCGTGTCGCTCTGTCTCTGCGTCTCTCTCTGTGTCTCTCTCACTGTCTCTCTCACTATGCTCTCCGCGTCTCTCTGTCTCTCTGTGTCTGTCTGTGTCTCTCTCACTGTGTCTCTCTGTGTCTGTGTCTCGCACTGTGTCTCTCCGTGTCTCTCTGTGCCTCTCTCACTGTCTCTCCGTGTCTCTGTGTCTCTCTCCGTGTCTCTCTGTGTCTCTCTCCGTGTCTCTGTCTATGTCTATCTCAATGTGTCTCTCTGTGTCTCTCCGTGTCTCTCTCTGTGTCTCTGTCTGTGTCTCTCTCCGTGTGTCTCCGTGTCTGTGTGCGGGGGCGCACTGGAGGGAGCGTGCGGGGCGCGCTAGAGACGACGCTGCTCCGGGAAGGAGACCAGCGGGGTGGTGCGGAGACAGAACCTGAATCAAAGACCAACGGAGACCAGCAGTGCCTGACGGGAGTCTTTTATTACACCACTACTACTAGAGTGGCAGCCTAGCACGCGCTGCGCACACAAACACACACATTGCCTGTGCTGCACACAGCCTCACTCGGCTGCTGGGGGCTCCGTGTCTGTAGCACCGATGAAGGCAATCTCCTCCCCTTCCACCACCTCCACCACCTCCTCCACGTGCAGCAGCTCCATCATCCCCACGGTGACATCGTCGCCATCGTCGCCGCCGTCATCGTGGCGAACCCCGGCCAGCACATTGCTCACGTAGCCGCTGGAGGGAGCGGAGAAAGTAGGTGAAGACGATACGTACGTACCTAGCACACGAGCGCGTATGTACCTAGCGCGCGAGCGCGTGCGTGCCTAGCGCGCGAGCGCGTGTGCACGTTGAACTCGTTATTCCGCACCGTCCGTAGACAAACCGTTTCTAATTGGGAGGTTCGCGTGACGGTGGTTTAAGATGTCACGCGACCACGGGGAAACGGACGCGGCAAACTCCAAATATCCAGAGGCAGGCGTCGTCAGGGGTTGGGATCGAAGCCACGACCTCCTGCGTGCCAGGCGAGGTGGTCAACATCTCATAGCCACCAGCGCCGAGTGATCGTGCAGGAGCCAGGCGGATGGCGTCGCCGCCACGCCACGGGGGGCAGCTTTCATCCGGCGGTGTCCATCGGGGGGGGGGCGAGCTCCTAAAATTACGATTGTTTCTGCTCCACCGCGGTGGTGGTGGTGGCAGTGGTGTTAGTGGTGGTGGTAGTGGTGGTGTTGGTGTTGTGGACCCCCCTAGTGGAGCATCTTCGCCGGTTGGAAACATTTAGGCTGGCCTGCCTACGATCCATCCTGGGTTTAACCAGGCTGGATTGTGTGAGGAGCTCACAAATCCTTGAAAGATCTGGGCAAAGTCCCATCAGTGAGCTCCTCCGGCAGGCAAGGCTGCGTTGGCTGGGTCATGTAGCCCGCATGCCCAGCCACCGCATGCCTAAACAGCTTTTGTTCGGCCGGATCGAGGGGGCTAGACGGGCGCGGCACGGGCTAGAGAAGAGATGGAGTGATGTGGTACAGGAGGACGTGGAGCTGAGTGGACTTGCCGATGACTGGTACCAGCGGTGTCAAGATCGGCCTCAGTGGAGGAGGCTCGTGAAGGACGCTACTGGGCAGTTGGAGGCAGTCGCCCTCCAACAACAACGGAGGGCGGAGGAGCGACGCTCACAACAACGAGCGGAGCGCCGGGTGGCTAAAGCACAGCAAGTTGGCACAGTAGGGGGCACAGGTGGTGCATTAGCCAGTCATCTCGGTCAGTCGACCCGTGGCACCTGGGTCTGCTCCGTGACCTCCTGCCAGCAGGCGTTCGACACTTCACGTGGCCTCAAGGTGCACTTGGCCTGGCACAAGCATGGTGACGTCACCGCCACTTAGTGGCGAATGGCGGTTGTTGTTGTTGTTGTTGGTGTTGTTAGCGTTAGTGGCTACCTGCAGTCGGAGACGGTATCCTTCTCGGGGAGCAGGTTCGGGGCGTTTCCTCCTCGCTCATCTACTGGGGAACGAGAAAATCAAGCAGAACGTGACAACAACACGACACGCGACACGCAAACCAAACACATGCACGCCGTCGGCACGTGCAAAGTATAGCAATGGTTAACAAATCTATTAAAATCAGTACATAGATTACAAACATACATTTGTTGTATCTTACCGGGTAAGCCCCCCGCTGTGCAACTACGTAACTTGAGTAGAAGCTACAGCGGCTATCACAAGTGTCGGCTCAACTCGGTGGCTCATCGTCGTCATCATCATCATCGTCGTCGTCGGGCGGCAAATGAATATCATCAGCCAAATGACTCTGAACGCGCAGAGACACGCAGCAGGAAGTGTCAGGGTCGGGATCGAACCCACGACCTCCTGCGTAATAGGCAACCTTCTCAGCCACCGTGATGATGATGATGAGAGACACGCAAACTCCAAATATACAGCAGCAGGTGTCAGGGGCGGGGATGTAACCCATGACCTCCTGTGTACCAGGTGAGGTAGTTAACATCTCCTAGCCACCGTGATGATGATGATGATCATGAGAGAGACTCGCAGACTCCAAATATACAGCAGCAGCAGACGTCGTCAGTGTCTGGATCCAAGCCACGACCTCCCAAGTACCAAGCGAGGGAGTCAACATCCTCGCAACGCCACCGCCACGCTCACCATCAACATCTCATAGCCACCGCAACGCCACCGCAACACTCACCGCCACGTTTGCCGGCGCTCCGTGTGCCCCACGCGGTGCACACCACGAAGGGGAGGATCGCCAGCACCGCTATGGCCGCCATGAAGCTGATGGAGGCGCTGCCGCCACCGGCGGGGAGCGTCGCCTCGTCTCCCGTAGACACCAGCGGACGAGGGTCGGGAGGTGGTGGTGGTGGCGGTGGTGGTGGCGGCTACGATATTGGGGAGGCACGGGGAGATACGAGGAGACGCGGGGAGACACGGGTAGAAATGGGGAGACAGAGACACGGGGAAACAGAGAGACACAGTGAGACAGATACAGACAGCGAGAGACACAGACAGACAGACAGAGACAGAGAGAGACACAGACAGAGAGAGACACGCATATAAAGGATTTATAGTGACAAACGTTTTTACGGGTTAATTTTTTGAGCGGTCGAGGTCACAAGACGGAACGGGAGCGGCGGCGGCGGCGCGAGGAGCGCGAGAGAGCAGCGCAGAAAGCCGACGGAGAAGCACTCGGGCCAGACACAAGCATTAGCTGCCAAGGCACCAGCACCAGCAGGGAAAACTCTCAAGAGCCATGGCTACGCACCGTCCTCGAGTGCGCCCGCCTGGACGGGCGGCGACGCGGGCCCCGGGCCGACCGCCGTGTGTGCCCGCACCGTCACCTCGTACGGGGCCCGCTCGCTCAGCCCGCGCAGCGTCACGCTCCTCCGCTCCGCGGGCTGCAGCGGCGTCTGGCGCCAGCCACCAACCCCGCTCGGCCGCCCTCCCGAGCCGTCCTCCCGGCCTCCCCGTCCTTCCCGTCGTCCCCCCTCCCGAGCCGTCTGCGTCGGGTGCGTGCGCCGCGCCTTGGCCGGGCGGCAGCTTCCTGTAGGCGACCGTGTAGCCCGTGATGGTGCCGTGCCGGCCGTGTGCGGGCGGCGGCTCCCAGCTGACCAGCACGCTGCCGGGGCTCAGGGAGACGCACGACGTGTTTTGTGGGGGTGCCGAGGGGGCTGTGGGTCGGGTTGGGATTGTGGTGGAGGTGACAGGGGCGAGGGGGTAATGGGGAGAAACATCAGAAACCGCTGCGACATGGATGTGAATAACCCAGGGGGTGAAAAACGCAAGTTAGTCAATGACTCGTGCTGCAAAGCGGGAGCTTTACAATTCCAATGATGTGAAAAAAAAAACATTAAAACCTCCGTAGGCGTGGGGGGTACGCGGCGCGTACCTGACTGCTTGGTGCGCTCCGTGACCGTGAAGGTGGCGGGGCCCAGCCCGGCGCGGGAGCGCGCCGACAGCTGGAAGCGGTAGACGGTGTCGGGCTGCAGGCGCTCGAGCAGGAACGTCACGGCGGAAGGCTCCAGCGTCACCACCTCCTGGCGAGCGATCAACGGCAAGGCGGAGGTTGCGACGGTCACTGTCGTCAATCGTCAGCGGCGTCGTCGTCGTCATTGTCCGCATCACGAGCGGTTGTCCGATTAGCGAACAGGGTTCACATACAAACATCTTTTAATCATCACCACTGCCATTATCATAATCGTCGTCGTTATTGTCATTGGCGTCGTCGTCACCATCATCATTGTTGTTATCATCATCGTCGCCGTCGTCACTATTGTCTTCACTTAATTGCACTTTTGAGTGTGTGGTCTCCCGTGTAAAAATAATTGATAATAACAGAGCCCTCAATTTCCCCATCAGAGCTTCACCGAATCGCAAGACTCATCCACAAGGGGTGGGGCTGGGTGGGGAGGGGCTGGGTGGGGGGTGGGAGGGGTGGGGCTGGGTGGGGAGGGTGGGGTGGGGCTGGGGGTGGGGAGGGGCTGGGTGGGGGGTGGGAGGGGTGGGGCTGGGTGGGGAGGGTGGGGTGGGGCTGGGTGGGGAGTGGCTGGGTGGGGTGGGGCGAGGTGGGGGTGGATGGGGTGGGGCTGGGTGGGGAGGGGCTGGTCACCCCGTGGTGCCCTTATAAAACTCAACGTTTCACCTACTCACGCCGGCTTGTGCCCGCCCTCACAGTCGGGCATATTTGCGGAATACACCACGCCGCCGTTGACCCTGCAGGCCATTGACCGAGCAACCCGACGTTCCTACCAGCTCCCTCCGCAGGACAATGTGTTAATCGGCACTCCCCATTCTGTTAGCGGGTAGCTGCCCCTTCTCGTCAACATGGGGCAGAAGCGCCACCACGCCAGGGAGTCGACGACAATCCCTGGGATGGGGACCCCGGGAGGGGGGACCGGGGGATGATGTCACCTTCCAGAAAGTTCTGGAAGGGAGGGCGTGTCTAGGGCGGAGCAAGCCACGAAGCAGGGGGGTGATGTCACCTTCCAGAAAGTTCTGGGAGGGAGGGCGTGTCTAGGGCGGAGCAAGCCACGGAGCAGGGGGATGATGTCACCTTCCAGAAAGTTCTGGAAGGGAGGGCGTGTCTAGGGCGGAGCAAGCCACGGAGCAGGGGGATGATGTCACCTTCCAGAAAGTTCTGGAAGGGAGGGCGTGTCTAGGGCGGAGCAAGCCACGGAGCAGGGGGATGATGTCACCTTCCAGAAAGTTCTGGAAGGGAGGGCGTGTCTAGGGCGGAGCAAGCCACGGAGCAGGGGGATGATGTCACCTTCCAGAAAGTTCTGGGAGGGAGGGCGTGTCTAGGGCGGAGCAAGCCACGGAGCAGGGGGATGATGTCACCTTCCAGAAAGTTCTGGAAGGGAGGGCGTGTCTAGGGCGGAGCAAGCCACGAAGCAGGGGGATGATGTCACCTTCCAGGAAGTTCTGGAAGGGAGGGCGTGTCTAGGGGCGGAGCAAGCCACGAAGCAGGGGGGTGATGTCACCTTCCAGAAAGTTCTGGGAGGGAGGGCGTGTCTAGGGCGGAGCAAGCCACGGAGCAGGGGGATGATGTCACCTTCCAGAAAGTTCTGGAAGGGAGGGCGTGTCTAGGGCGGAGCAAGCCACGAAGCAGGGGGATGATGTCACCTTCCAGGAAGTTTTGGGAGGGAGGGCGTGTCTAGGGCGGAGCAAGCCACGGAGCAGTACACAAGCCGGACCTCTCAAGGGTCCGGCTCAGTCGTCACACCGGTGCTATGAAGGGGCTGGACTAGGAGCCTGGACTCCAGGCTCTACTGCCCTTCTCAGGCCGGGGGGTCTGAGTGGAGTGTGGTCGGTGGTGAGACCCTGGGGGACCCCCCTCTCACGTCCTTCTCAGGGCCGGGGGGTCTGAGTGGAGTGTGGTCGGTGGTGAGACCCTGGGGGCATCCCCTCTCACGACGTCCTTCTCAGGGCCGGGGGGTCTGAGCGGACCAGAGGTCAGGACTCGTACGTGTAGCCCGGAGGCCGTTCACCTCCGTGGGTGTCGGGTGGAAGGGGCCGTTACCCCTTCGTGTCAGGGACCTGCACCCAGATTGTGAATCAATATCGTGTTGCCTCGCAACAAGAAGAAGTTCTCACATTATGTACCCACTGCAATAGGACACCGTGTGAGTGTGTGTACGATGGCAAAGTCCACGCGTCTCTACAACGACAGCACCAACCTTCAAGGTGCATCTAATGAACGGGGGTTTGTCTCGACGATTGGACCTCCCCCTGTGAGTGTGGCCGATGGAACAACCCACACACCTCCTCCTCCTTGTCGTTGCTGTTGTCCCCCCCGTGGCGGACGTAGAGCTCGTAGCTGGCGACGGCGCCGTGGTGCGGAGGGGTCCAGCGTAACAGAATGCTCGATTCGGACACCGCTTCTGCTGTCAGCTTCACCGGCTGGACAGGAGGAGCTGTGGGACAAAAGTCATCACGTACAAATGTCTGTTATTTAACAACGTGTGTGACGTACAGGGATTCTGCCGTGGCAAGATGTTGAGTTTTATCATCATCAGCACAATCCATGTAGGTGTCCACTGCAGTTTCGTCATGTGGTCAGACAGAGGAAAGTGGAAACATTTTCACGTATATGCATACTCCACTTGAAATCCAGGTCACCGGTTCCATATCTCGAGTTCGACAGCTGAAGCCATGGGCAAGTCCAACCAATGTTTGAACCTGTTCTGGGCCTCATACCGCAATGATATTTTGCAAAATGGATGTTTCATTAACGTGCATCTCACAAGATTACATTCGTGTTTACACATACGCAGCAGTATTAAAGGTATACACCGCAGTTAGTCAGTGCCATATCGTGTGTGCAGTGGGGTCCAGTGCAAGTCCCCCTCCCTCTTCTAAGCCGTCTGGGCAGCATCACAAACAACCTGGCCACCATTACCCCTCTAGAGGGCGTCTCCTTCTCGAAGCGGCGGCCCTTCGACGCTTGCTTTCCCTAGCGTCGCCACGCCGCGTGTGCGCGCACGTGTGCTCCTTGCCTGCGACGGTGGTCTCGACGTAGATCTTGTCGGACAAGGGCCCGTCGCCAGCGGACGTGAAGGCGAGCATGCGAAGCACGTGCGGTGTGTTGGGCGCCAGGCCGCCCAACAAGGCGAAAAAGTCATCGCCGCCGACGACGCTCTCCAGCCAGGTGCTCTCGGGCCGCACGGGTTCGACGGCGCAGTAGACGCGGTAGCCACGGATCACCCCGTTGGGCACCTTGGGCTGGCGCCACGCTATCAGCAGGATGGGGGTGCGGCCCAGCATGTACGCGTGCACGTTGCGCGGCGGGCCCGACGGCGCCTGTTCGCCGGTGCGCGCCAATGCCGGCGGGCTGGGCGGCCCGCGCCCCATCCCGGTCACCGCCAGCACCCGCAGCTCGTACATCGAGTCGGGCTCCAGGCCCGCGAGCGTGTGCTGCGTGTCGGGCACGGCGTCCGTCTCCCGGAAGGGGCCCTCCGACGATTGCAGCTTGTACTGCGGCGACAGCGGGGTTGGGGGGCAGGCGGGCGGTGGTGGAGATCGCTCGCTCGACGCACGCGTTTATATCCGCGTAAGATGCGCAGGGCGCCGGGGTCGAATTTCACAGCAAGATAAGCACCGCTGCACTACCGCTTCCCACCACAACCGCATACCTAACACACAACAACCGCCATTCGCCACTAAGTGGCGGTGACGTCACCACGACGCTTGTGTCAGGCCAAGTGCACCTTGAGGCTACCACAGTGAAGTGTCGAACGCCCGCTGGCAGGAGGTCATACCTAACACACGCGCGCACACACACTGCCTTTGCAACTCGAGCATACGGCTGTATCCGCGCGCACCGCAGCACAGAAGATGAAGTCGGTAACTTTTTGGCTGGGTAATGTAGGAATCGTAACTGAGAAACCATCGAGTTTCCTGCGGATTCATCTTCTTGGTTCTTTCGGTAAAGTCACGTAGAATGGAAGTAATAAAATAATAAAAATAAAACATCATAAAATAATTCTCACGACGTTTCGGCCACAACGCAAGCAACCGTCTTCAGGTGAAGAACAGGTCTGTCGAGAAGACAGCATCTGAATGACTTTCCGACAGACCTGTTCTTCACCTGAGGACGGCTGCTTGCGTTGTGGCCGAAACGTCGTGAGAATTGTATTTTATGTTTTATTTTTATTATTGTATTACTTCCCTTCTACGTGACTTTACCGAAAGATGAATCCCTGCAGTCACGAAAGCTTTAAATAGAATTTTTTCCTGCGGATGTTAACTACCTCGCCTGCTATGAATGAGGGAGGGTTCGATCCTGACCCTGACGCCTGCTGCTGCTGTATATTTGGAATTTGCGTGTCTCCGTCACGGTGGTCGCGTGGATTTTTCTCCGGGTCCTCCGGTTTTTCCCTCCACATTTAGAATCGGCGTGCGTTCAAGAGCACTTGGCCGCTATACATTTCAAGCCACTTCGCTGAACTATCTCCGTGACCAGGTCACTTCTGAAAAAGAGCTATACAGCTCAGTGGGCTAAACTCCAAACATACAGGCGTCAGGGCCGGCATGGAAACCACGTTTCACCAGCAGGATGCCCAATGGTTCGGCGTGCTGCAAGCCGTCCTCACCTGGATGACGTAGAAGAGGACAGGGTCAGGGCCGAGCAAGTCCCATGTCAGCGTCACGCTGGTCGACGTCGTCTCCGTCACCGACAAGCCCAGGGTCGTCGGCAGGCCTGGGGGAGGTGGGCAGGGTAGAGGGGGGCGGTGGGGGGTGATGGAGCGGTGGTGAATCGGATAAGGGAGAGGCAATTGGCTACGATTGGCCAGTTGGAGATAGGGTCAGAATGCAGAGTTGGGACATGGATGAGGAGGGAATTAATTTCCGTTGTGTGCAATGTTTGTTGTGATTAATCATACAAACACAAGATCCAGGTCCGATTCAACACAGTACAGACATTCTAGATTTGAAGCTTTGGTGACTGCAAGGATTCATACTCTTAGTTCTATCGGTAAAGTCACCATGTAGGTGAAAAAGAAATTAAAATTTATAAAAATAAAGCAATAAAAATCACGACGTTTCGGAGGCAACACAAGTCTCCGTCTTCAGGTGAAGCCGTCACAGGAAAATATCTGTATCAAGTGATGAAAAATATCTGTATCAAGTGATGAAAAATATCTGTGTCAAGTGATGAAAAATATCTGTATCAAGTGATGAAAAATATCTGTATCAAGTATCACTTGATACAGATATTTTGCTGTGACGGTTCTGCCTGAAGACGGAAGCTTGTGTTGCCTCCGAAACGTCGTGATTTTTATTCTTTTATTTTATTAATTTTTATTTAATTTTTTACCTACATGGTGACTTTACCGAAAAAACTAAGAGTACAGTACATACAATTCGTGATCTGATCCCATCTGTGAAGGATGTGATCCCTGACACGCAATACCCCGGCGTCTACAAACCAAGCTGTGTCTGCAGCAGTAGTTACATTGGGGAAACTAAGCGACATTTCTCAGACCGTGTTCGCGAACACAAGGCGGATCTGAAACACGGTAGGACCAACACCTCAGCCGTGGCCGATCATCGTTTTAACGCTGTGGTGGGCTCACACGTGACATTGATTTCTCCAAGACGAAGGTACTCTGCAAACCCATTGGCTATCAGCAAACATTTGTTCATGAAGCCATCCAGATATAGAAACAGACACAATTTGAACCGAGAAGATGGGGGTACAAACTGAGCAATCATTGTAATGACGTTATTAACCAGGTAAAGTCATCACTGGCTGCGATGCTTCCATTCCGACTCTCTGAGTTACATTACCTTGTTAAATGTCTTCACATTAACCGGCTAAATGTCTCACTAACACAGCTACTGCTCATAATCAACGTTTTTGGGGGTTAGATCGCGTTATTTATAAATGTGTCGTAACCCTCCACCACCCGACACGGCCAATCAGTAAAAAAGTGTCACGTTGACAAAAGACAATTAGTTCACTGCTTTAGCCACCGGTGTGTTGAAGCGTGAAACCACAACAATTTACAATTTGAGTAGCACGACGTTTCGCTGGTAATTGCATCCAGCATCATCGGGCAATTCGCCAGAATGGTGAGGCTCTGCTCTGTCTCCCGTTCTTATATAGAGCAGCAGCAGCAGGGTGACGTAATCATTAACTCATTAACTCATCAGGTGCCAAGATTCAAGGGGGGTTATTGTAATTATATACTAGATTAGTAATCAGGCTATTGTTACGATGCGAGTTGTAGATTAGTAATCATTTGGAATGTGTTTTATTGTGATTATGCTACATTAGTAATCAGTGTTTGTTTCTGATTGGCCGTGTCGGGTGGTGGAGGGTTACGACACATTTATAAATAACGCGATCTAAACCCAACAACGTTGATTATGAATATTGGTCGCGAAAGCCTGCTACGTGTTAAACAGCTACTGCTCCCTTCTCCTTGATGTTCAAGCGGCTGAATGTCTCTCATTAACACAGCCGCGGCTGCGGGAGCAGTATGTTTTTTATCAATCTGTCCGCCGCTCGCTCCGCTCCACGCGAGCACACACAGTGCTCGTGATGAATCACGACTATTCTTTGTTCTTTCGGTAAAGTCACGTATAAAGATATAATAATAATAAATTAAATAATAGCTATTACGACGTTTCGATTGCAACACAACCAATCATCATCAGGTATAGTGAAATAGCGACATAAAATCTAACCAGAAAACTATAGACAGACATATAAGCAGACAGATATCACCAAGATACACAGAGAGAGTGACACAGGTACAGAGAGGGAGATTGTCTCTGTGGGGTGGCCTTAAATAGACAGGGGGGGGGGGCGGAGGCAGAGAGAGGGAGGGGGTTAGAGTCAAAATTTACATGTCAATGAGTACGAAGAGACGCGTAGTAAAGTACGCAGGCTTAGAGGGAGAAAGAACACACTAAATTAAATAACCTAGCAAAGTATCGAAATGTTACGTAAAACGACACAGAGTTAAGAATGAATCACAATCTCCGTGGCCGCCTCTGCCTTCTCGCTCCGCTTGGGCTGCTCAAAAGCGGTTGTGTCTCGTGTGATGATGGTTAAGGCGGTAGGGGCTCTCCGACTCTCGTGCGTGTTTCGTGCGACACCAGGCCACGTCGCATCCAGTCACGCTCCAATACACCCTCCGTTGGATAGATGTTGGAGAGGTGTTTTTTTTTTAAGACGTAGGCACAAAACGACGCGTCGTTACCAAAATGTTTAAAATACGGTCGGCCACATCGTTAGGGTAACATCCTAGAACATATCTTCTTGGTTCTTTCGGTAAAGTCACGTAGAATGGAAATAATAAAATAAAATAAATAAAACATAATAAAATACAATTCTCACGACGTTTCGGCCACAACGCAAGCAGCCGTCCTCAGGTGGAGAATAGGTCTGTCGGGGAGACAGAGTCTGAATGACCTGTTCTCCACCTGAGGACTGCTGCTTGCATTGTGGCCGAAACGTCGTGAAAAATATGTAAATATTTTTTTATTTTTTATTGTTTTATTATTTCCATTCTACGTGCCTTTACCAAAAGAACCAAGAAAATGAATCCCTGCAGTCACGAAAGCTTTACATCGAAAAAAAAAAGATGTAGATGATGATGTTGATGATGTTGATGATGTTGATGATGATGATGTTGATTATTAATGTTAATGATGATGATGTTAATGATGATGATGTGAATGACTGTCTTCTCGACAGACCTGTTCTCCACCTGAGGACGGCTGCTTGCGTGTGGCCGAAACGTCGTGAGAATTATCTTATTATGTTTTATTTTTATTATTTATTACTTCCCTTCTACGTGACTTTACCGAAAGAACCAAGAAGATGAATCAGACAAGTGACTGTGTGGACGGGGGGGGGGGGGTGAGAAATGTGACGTCACATCAAAATACGCACTACAATGACAATAGTTTAAAGCGATTTGAAGCATGTTTTATTTGGGGGGGGGGGGCAGAGCTTTGTGACGTCATATTTGAGGGGGGGGGGTCTGACTTTTTGTGACGCCGAGTGACGAAGGGGGGGGGGGGAAAAAAAGTCTAAAATCGCGTGATGTCATTTATGGGCGGCCCCTTGGCAGAATTCCCAATCAAGCTGCACAAGATTTGCTGATGTGCATGGACGTGTGTGTGTCTGAGTGTGTTAGTGTGTTTTGTGTGTCTGTGTGTCTGTGTGTATGTCTGTGTGTGTGTCTGAGTGTGTTAGTGTGTGTGTCTGAGTGTATGAGTGTGTGTGTGTATATGAGTGTGTGTGTGTGTCTGAGTGTGTTAGTGTGTGTGTGTGTGTCTGAGTGTGTTAGTGTGTGTATGAGTGTGTGTGTCTGAGTGTGTGTGTGTGTGTCTGTGTGTGTATGTCTTGTGTGTGTGTGTGTCTGAGTGTGTTAGTGTGTGTGTGTGTATGAGTGTGTGTGTGTATGAGTGTGTGTGTATCTGAGTGGGTTAGTGTGTGTCTGAGTGTGTGTGTGTATGAGTGTGTGTGTGTGTGTTGGGAGCGGTGGTGTAGCGATTAGCAAGCTGCACTACGAACCCAGCCACAGAGTTCCATTCCCACTCACGGCCAACACCAGTGACAATCATCTGAATCGGTCCCGGGCCTCCACTAGGTGGACTCAGCCTCAAACGAGTACCTGGTGTGGTGTGTAAACATTGTCACTGGGGAGACAAAGGCGGCCAGGCGTGGTGCTGGCCACCCACCCCCTCGTGTTGCCGTGCCGGGCTTCATTAGGTGCTCGCTAACAGCACTTGCCCCAACAGTCTGTTGAGGCTACACGGGGGATCTTTGTCTTTGGGCGAGCAGAGACAGGCAGGCATGGGGGCAATGGAGAAGGCGGCAATGGAGACGTTCAGACAGGGAGACAGACGGAGTGGCCGGGAGACTGACAGAGACCGCCGGAGGCTCCAGACAGACTTCAGACACAGGCAGAGACGAGACAACCATCAGACAGACAGGAGGAGGTGGAGGAGGAGGATAGACAGATGGCAATGCGACACGCACGTGCGGAAAAGCTCGTCACAACCAGTTAATAATCAGCAGGAGAAATCACTCCGCAGAAATTGGTCCTGTAAAAATTAACCCGTAAAAATAAAGTTTTTCACTATAAATCTCCTTTATATGCGTGGCATCGGTTTTATTTTATTATTCATTTCTGTTTTTCTGGAGTAAGAGTTTCATTTTTATCACATTGGTATTTTAAATTAAATATGAAAAAAAAAATTCCTAAAAATTGGAACATTTAGGAAAAAATTTTTCAGGAAAATAAATTGTCACGCAACAACGAGTCTGTGTGCAAAATGTCAGCTCGATTGGATCACGGGAAGTGGGTTAAAAAACGACCGAAAGATTTGCACGGTCGTAAGCAAGCAAGTGTAGAGGTGTAATTGCGCATGTCTACGAATGTTGAGGTGTGATTATGCATGGCCACGGATGGCCAACAAACACAAGGGGCGGGGTTACGGCCGTACACAAGGGTGGCGCTCGCACCGACGTCCGCATGTGTATCCCCCACGGGCCCCCCCTTGGGGCAAGTCCTATAAAAGGTGATGAGCCGAAAGGCTCGGGAGTCGGGACTCAGCTATAACCAGAGAAGACGGAAGACCAGCTAGTGTAGGCCCCAGAGCTCCCCTGGCTCGCTGTCCTTATAAGGGCCGACCAGGGCAAGCCGGTGGCGTGGCCCCGAGAGCCCAGACGAAGCT